CCATTTCATTTTTAAAGAATCTAGAAACAAAGTAAGCAGTTGATAACAGGTCAGTTTCAGGTGATAAAAGAGATTTTAGATGGGACATTACTTCTTTTTCCACACCTGGCATAACCACATTATATCCTTCGCAGAGTTGTCTTTAAGCACTGGTATGTTTGTTCATAAACAGATGGCATAAACAATACATCGCTATTTGAATTCCAAGGACACAATACATTTTTAAAGATAGTCACCATATGTCATAGATTCTTCACTGGAAAAAATATTGATGTTAGAATTTTTTTTTAATTTAAACAAAAAAGGCTGACTTATTTCTAACTGAAATTTACCATTAAATCATAGTGGCTCTTGCAAAACAGGACTGTTTCTTTCAATATTGTTTGTAGATTTGATATTGGAGGGATTTAATAGAATCAAGTGTGTAAAGCACTCTTGAAATTATCTTCTTTTTTTTTTTTTTTTAAATACCCCACAAAGTTATGAAGACAGATTGCTAAAAAGTGGTAATATTTATGTGGCATTCATTCACGCTCTCAGAAGGAGCTAAAAGAAGCGTGGCTACTAAGCATCCTAGATTTTAATCAAACCATTATTTTTGATAACTATGTGCAGACTATAAAAGGCCAGATTTTTATCTAGTTAGCAACTGAGGAGTCCAGCGCTTGTCTTAGACTGTGAATAACTATGAATCATACTAATTATAGCTATCCTCAAATTTATTAAGTGCACTGAAGATAATTGTAAATTTTGTTTCTAAAAATACATTATGTGGGCTCTACTGTGGGTTGTTGACCCCAGGGAAATGCTTAAAACATGCTGTATACTTATTGTTTTTTAGATTATTATGCTTTTCGAAGCTAAGACAGATGTACAAAAAGATGCAGTTTTTATTTTGTATTGGCAGCTTCCAAATATTTAGTATCTATTTCCAAGAGCTGCAATTAGTAAAGCATCCATGGTACTGAAATCCACACATCCCACAAGCTAATTATATTTGCAAGGTCAGATTGAATACATATTTTCAGAAAAATAAAGGGTTATATAAATGTGTCTTCTACTTGGCTGTTATATCACAGTTTGTTGATCTGGAGTATAATGTGTACAATTCACAAATTTGTCTGATAACAGAAAGTGGTGTGTGATTGTGTTTATTTTACTAACCAGTATATTCACAGCAATCACTTCCAAATATCTCTCCAGTAAAGATGTGTTAATTACAAAACAGACAAGGTCTTCTATTATATTAAAGTTACTAAAAAAAATGTAAATAGCATCATCAACCCCTATTTTAGTCCTCTGTTTTGATCTGTGAGTTGCGCATAGACCAAAGGTGCTATTAAAGACTCAGTATATGAAATAGGCAGCATTATATGAACAAAATTTATTCAACAAGAAAACAGACCTTTAACATGAATTTAACAAGCCTGAGAAATTATAAACTCTCATATGCTGCAGATTCATGCAGTGATAATAAACAAAAAAGGAAAGTAAGAGGTTTCCTTAAGCTAGCCAAACTGCTAATGGTTTTGTTATAAGCTGTCTGCTGTTGAAATGACCTCTGAAAAGTCTGAAGACACTTGTACTAGAAAAATGAAATGGTCAGAGTGGTGAAAGAGTTGTACTATGGAAGCGCATTTAAAAAAAAATAATTCTACCTTCATATTTCTGGAAAATATCCCAACGGCACAGACTTTCGTTTAACTTTTTTATGCCTTTACAGAAAGGGAATTTCGCATGAAGCTTGGAAACTGTAGTTTTTACTAAAACAGTGCACGCTGCATTAGGTAATTTAAGTACAAGGAAAGCTTAAATTTTTGGATGAGAAATTCTGAATTCTTACAACAAAAATCTAAGTAACTGAGTTGGGTTTTGTGCCGCTTTTAATTAATCCTTGGAGGTTCTTTGTTCAAAATACTGTGTCTAAAGTTTTCATTGTAGAATACGGGGTGACCATGGTGCTGTCATCTGATTGCATCATGCTGTACTTCAAAATACATAAACGTAGAGGGGAGACTTCACCTTGTGCACACCTCCAAGTGCTCACAGGGGCTTTTTTCTTGAATCTTACTGTGGCATAATTAACACCTACTTCACCCATTGCTCATTAGTACACTGGACATTAATGAGTCTATTTATTTTGATATAATCCTCCAAAGGAGGGACTGAGTTGTGCTCACCGTGAAAAAAGCAATTACATTTCATAGAAATGAATAGGTAGGTTTTACTGTTGTATTTATGTTTTTATTGCGTATTAGGTCTAAATTTAGCCTCCAGGTTGTTGAGCATGTTAGTTTCTTTAAGATGGTTGCTATAGTGATAGCAGCAAATTCCTTTAATCTTAGTGTAGTTAAAGTATTTAGTTACCATTGGTTGTCACAGTGCAGCTGAGACGAGAAATATCATTCACACGCGTACTGTTTGTACCCCTCTGTGGTTGTAGAAATGGCAGTTTTATCCCTTCTTAAAGCTTAATATTTATGATTTGCGATTTTAGTATTTCATACCACTTTCTGTTACATTGAAATTTGTTCTGCTTAGGAAATACTTGCATTTCATTCCTTCAGGAGGACAGATAGAGCGGGCGGTCGTTTCCCACGCAGGTAGTACCTGCAACATAACTGAAATTACTTCTGGTCAGAATTAAGATGCTAGAGTAATATTCAGTATCACTCCGAAATATTTTAGCAGCTAGTTCTCATATTTTAATGTGAAATTTATCCAAACATAACCTTGAGAACACCAGCTGAAATGTTGAATTTATTATTAAAACCAAGTTTAATCAGTTTTTTTTATTTTGGGTTTTCTTTTTATTTTACATGACTCAAGCCCCAAAACAAATCCATGCTGGACAATGCCATTCGTTCTTGGAGAAGCCCAACATTTTCAAGTAAAATTCTCAGTTAAACTCAGGTCTAGAAGCATGGCTGTTAGTAAGTTATAAAGCAGCTCCTGGTGATTATAGCATACTGCCAAGTTCATGTTTCTTGCTCCTCGGGGTAAATTTTTACTTGCTTGGGTTTTTTCCCCTTATCTAGCTAGTCTCTGGAGAACCTGTGATGCAGAATTTTTTTGCTTTGCTTGACTTTTTAATTTATACCGCCTGTTTGTTGTGGTTGGGCATTTTCAGGTGTTCATAAATTAGAGCATCTGGTTAAAATGGAACAGAGATATATACAAAAGTTTCTCACAAGTGTTTTGAGATAAAAATCTGATAGTGATAAAAAAAGGGAAAAAATACAATTATTTTGTATGTTACCACAACAAATGTATAGGTATCTAGAAACTGTTTAAGAAATTTTGAGAATTAATGTTTTTAAAATGTAATTCTGTTTTTGTAGCATTAGTATCAGATGGCATGCTTCTGCTGCATACTAAATCTGAATTGTGTTTTGGTTTTATTACTGTGCAGGAAAAATTGTCATTGTTAATTTAATTGGGTCACAGCCTAACAATCTTAACAAAGAAGATTTTTTTTTTGGTACATTTTCTGCATGCAGTTTTAAGAAATCACATATGCAGGTGGATCTGGCCAGAGAGCTGAGAGTCCAGGCAGTAGCCCTTAGTGGCGCGGAGTCACTCAACGTGACTGAAATAGCTGGGTCTCAAAAGTAAATACAACAGGTGATAAGTTATTAGGCTTTTTCAGTTCACACTTTGATAATTTTTTTATGTTATAAATACTTGCCGATTAAGTTATTTCCGCATGAATGACCCCCATATTTATATTGTACTCCTAATAAATTGTGTATGTATTTAGTTATTAATATTTGTGTAAATGGAGAGGAAAATGCTAGAACAGGGTGGGCGACTTGATGTCGCTTTCTCTGCAGACTTTCAGTGACGGTGCTTGATTTCTTGTTTGTTGAACATAAAAGATTTGGTTCAGGTCTAATTCCTCAAAATATCAAACCAGCCATATAAATGCATCTGTTGTTGTCCAACCCATAGTATGGAGAGGAAGAGAATAAAAATGGTTGTAGAAAAGCTTTCAAAAGGAGATTTAAACTCTTTAGTTTAATGACTCTTCAAACATATGCAAGGTATGCCTGCAAAGTATGCCTGGTACTGTTTCTGTGGATGTATGAGGCTGTACGTCCATTAAAAGATGGGCCTAAATGAGAAATCTTGTTTTGAGATTACGAATCTGTAATGGTGAGCACTCAGCAGGAGTGGGTTTGAGGGGATTGTTGGTACGTTCTCAGTTCTGTTTCACCTCACATAGGTGTTGGATAGGGGTGTGGGCTTTCTTGTATGGGGCCATGAAATCCTATTTCCAAAGATTTTCATAGACAAATTTAGTGCAGGACAGGATAAAAATCAGTGATGGTTTTACTTTATTTGCAACGAAGTAGCACTGAATACTACCTACCGTGTACCTTTAAATCATAAATGACCTTGGTTTTCTTTTACTCTATTTTTTACTCCTGAGCATGACACTGACAAGGACTTTTTAATCCATCAGACAGTTTATAGACCCTTTCGTAGTCACAAGAAGCAAAAAGCATCTGACTAGAAGGGAATACATGGGGCAAGTTCCTTGCTGGCTATAATTTTGTTGTCATTTCAAGTATTGTGGTAGTATAATTGATGTGACAGGACTGGGCTTTAGACTCGGTCCCTTAGCTTGTGCTCACTTTCAGTTTTAGTCTCTCTCTGTCATTCATTTTGATTGGGTAAGATTTAGGTGACAAACATATGCATACCTTTGAAGCTTAGAGTAAGTGTACATAAAAATTCAATGTTATATGATGATATCAGGTATATAAAACTTACAGCTCCATGGAAAAGGTAATAATTGGTGTCACCTTACAATACAAGGCAGTGTAGTGTGCTGATAGCATAGCAGCAGGAGGCTCTTTTTTATTAATATTATAATTAAATGATTTTCTGGATAAAGGCCAAAAACAGATGAGAGTTGGTTGTGCCTTGTCCACTGTTGCTTGGCACTATTAGTTGCATTTTCTAAAAAGAATTGACTTGACATCTTGTTTTTACAGGTTGTTATTGATGCCTTCAGATTGATCAATGCTAATATGATGGTCTTGGGACATGAACCAAGACAAACAACTTCAAATCTGGGTCACTTAAACAAGCCATCTATCCAGGTAAAGCCAGTGTTGATAGTCCTGTAAATTGTAAGATTTATTCAGCAATTTTGGGGAAAGGTACCTAAAACCAGTAAGCTACAAATTGCTTATTGTTCTCTCTGTAGCATTTTTCTGCATGCATTTATAATTGATGTGGTTCATCAATGGAGTTACATATGTGAAGGGTTTAAAATTGAGCCCTAAATTACCAACCTAAGTGTGAATGAATGTATAAGTATATACTGCCAAGGTTAAAGTACAGATTTATGGAAATGCAAACTTTTGAAAGTGACAATTGATGTCATACCATGTGATGCAAGATAGGTACTGTTTTCAGTACTGCAATTTAAAAACTGCTGCTTACTAACATCTTCAGCTTTCCTAAAGATAAATTATTTTGAAGCAAATTATGGAAAAAGTTCCCTCTTCATTAATAATATTGTCTTTCTACTGTATGCTTGTATAGGTTCTTGCTTAATATGTGATCTAGATTTAACCTCACATTGTGTCTTAAATAATTAATCTCTGATCCTTATATAATGCAGTAATTTGCTGAAAAAATGGTGGAGTAGGAGATTCAGTGGATAAATAGGATATTTGATCACCTTCAACTGTAATGTTTCTTTTGAGTATGTAGTCTTACATTTCTTTGCAAGCATTTGTGAAACTTAAATATGCAAAATTTGATTTCTGAAGTTGACTTTCACTAGTAAGACAAAAATGTTGGTCTTCAATGAAGCAAACCTTTATTTTGAGAAATAGCTTTTGTCCTGAAACAAGTGTCCTCTGGAGCAATTAATGCTTTTATCTTTATCATTCTTCTGCCTCAATGTTTTTTCTTTTTTCTATCCAGAAAACTTTTTTCCCTTACTGTGCATTCTAAAAGGCATGTGTACTTGCAACCATGAAGCCTAATTCCTGCTCTTTTGATCTGTTACTTGAGCAACAGAAGTAATATTTGCTAGATAAACATCCAAGAAAAAGACCACACTAGTCATAGTAGAACTGAAATAAGGGCTAAGCTTCTGCTCTAAGAGAGCCATCCTTTGGAATTCACTAGATCACCATACCCTGACTTTCAAAAGATCAGGTTTTTCTATCACTGATTCATTTAAACCCTTTATTATTTATAAAAATGCTAGCCAAAAAATTCAGACAATTAAAGAGTGTCTGCTTCAGGAGGTTGTTGTGGTTTACTGTTGATTTTTGAATCAGTAAAAACTGCAAACTATAATGAGTATGAAATAAGCAGCTAATACTCTTGATTGGATGTAGGCAAGCCTGTGCTTGCATGTTTCAGGGCTTTTCTAACTGGGCTTTTCTGGACCGTGTGTAATGACCTCCCTTGTAAACCTCTGTAGTATTATTCAATTTCATTATTTTAAGATCGCTGTCACTAGAGCATGGCATATTTTGGCCATGGGAGTTTTGGGTTTCTGTTGTTAGAGTGGGTATTTTTTGTTTGTGTTGGTTTCTTGCGAGTTGGCAATGAGCTATTGCGAATGTCACTGTTAACCTAAAAATCATAGTTTAAAATGATACTCTGGTCTTAAAACTGCAAGGGCTCTTGCAGTGTGGATTTGCTTTTATTCTAAGATTGTAAATAAAATTATGACCCAGTTGAGGTCAGCAGCACATTTAATATCGATTTCAGCTGGGCTAGAAGCAGGGTTTTTAAGACATTCCTTAAAATCTCAAGAATAAGAATAGTTCGTGGCTTGACTTCATTCCTTTTTTTGCGTTTTTTTCTTGTGTTCCCTTATCAACAGCTTTTTTACTTGCTCTTTCTGCATCTAATTTGTAAGGCGTTTTGGAATGACGGCTTCTGTTTGAAACAAAACACGCAAAGAACAAGCTCTGCTTTAAAGTGTTTTATGGGTTTTAATTTAACCTGTTGCAGTGGCTGAACTACAACTACTGTTCAGGTTTGAAGTGGAACAGTTGTTCGCCTTTTATATTTGTCCACTCTTCTAAAGAGTGATTTTGGAAGGGGAGAGGAAGGAGAGAGAGGATAGTGGGGGAAGGCAAAGATGGTTGTCAAATTTTAGGAGTTTTAGAAAACTCCCTAAATATCTACATCTGAGTTTAAATACAAACCCCAAAACCTCATATGCAATCATTTTGAGCGGGATAAGAAAATGGCAGTGGAAACTACT